TTACTTACTTACTTACTTACTTACTTACTTACTTACTTACTTACTTACTTACTTACTTACTTCTTACTCTTACTCTCTACTACTACTACTCTCTCTCCTCTCCTCTCTCTCTCTCTCTCTCTCTCTCTCTCTCTCTCTCTCTCTCTCTCTCTCTCTCTCTCTCTCTCAAACACACACGCACAAAGACGTACACATGTGTGCATGCTCTCTCTCTCAAACACACACGCACAAAGACGTACACATGTGTGCATGCACCCGCACACATATACACAAAGCAAACTAGATTGTGGTTGTCTAACTTGGTGAATACATCCATGCAGGCTGTTGCAGACATTATTGTTTCCAGGCATTTCGCTTCCAAGGGTATAAGACCAGTGAGTGTTTAGTCTAACTTACCATATACAATCCATTTCCCCATAATGGATAATCATGTACTCAAACGGCCCCTAATGGACAATGGTTTTCTGTTGTCCATTCACCTGTACTATTCTTTCTCTATTCAAATTCATTGAAATACTACTTGTCTACAAAAGATGTATTTTCAAATATCTTACATAAAATTTTATGCATCTTCCCAATTTATAGGTATATTCTATAACTATACTTTTCCTCCTGTCAACTTGCAGGCCCTTTTATCTGCTCTTGCTGAAATGAGTAGTATGCGTTTTCTTGATGGGATTGGACCTGGCAGCGGGATCATGGGAATACCTTACCAAACAGCTCTCTGGCTTAATAAGTAAGTTTGAACACTCAATTAACTTCTCAAATAAAAACATCTCTTTACAAGTAATTCCTACTGTGCAAGCATTTCCAAATTGTGATATTTGCAGTCTTACCATGCTTAATTCTTATTATATCATAATTTCTAGGGATATTGGTTTCAAGGCTTACAAGGTTAAGGCCATGGAAGATCTTTCAAACCCTTTCTTGTCCATGTACTTTGGTACAGCTTATGTGAGCTGGCTGTCTCAATATGAAGGAAGGTGGGTAGAACTTTTTGTTCAAGTGGAACACTAATCTATTTTTGTATTCAATGTGCACTTTTTTGCTTGAATGGCTTCTTCATCAGCATGTTTTGTTTGGAAAATGTATGAATAAAAAAAATCCAGGGAAAGGACCGATGAATTTGTTGTGCAAGCTTATCTTAGGGGGCCAGATAATGTCAATATTCAAGAGACTGGTCCACTATGGGTTAAATTTCAGCGGATTGTGCCTTCCTATGAAGATTTAAAGAAGTATGTATTTTATTCGCTTAAGTCAATATGAAACTTTTGGTGAACAATAATAATTTCATTTAAAACTAACTTCTTGACCCGTTTCTCTTGCAGGATGAATGAAGGGAATTGCACCATTTTGTAAACTCTTTTAGCTTTCTATGCTCCTAAGTGCTGTTTAACTCAAATCTTTTTCCTACTATGTTGAAAGATTTTGTGGGTTTGTGTATTATCATTATGAATAGAAATACTTTATATCAATTGGCCATTACATTCAATTGTTTGAAACAGTTGATATAACTGTGCAGGATTAGCTGAAGGATAGAACTAATTGTTAACGTGGGCTAGGATTAAACCAGCAATGGTCCGGGCAGCCTGTGCAGGACCAGAAAACCCGGGTCCAGGCCATAAATTTGGCTGAGGGTCCATTCTGCACCGGGCCACCTCGGTCGAGGCCAAGCCTGGCTTCACCAGGCCAGGGGCCTTGGCCGGCTGTGCCCGACTTGCGTTTTATGTCTGTGTTTTTTTATTAACTTTATCCTGCTGGATCCTAATGGATATGTTATTGGGCTTTCGCCCAAACTCAAGGTCTGGATTGGTTCATATCTAGAAGCTAAGAAACCCATGGGGAATTTTTCACGGGAAGAATCCGATGGGAATTTTTTTTCATGCTTATCGTATATATATGCTAAACAATCTTAAACATTGATATAAGGATAAGCATATCCCAGGTATTTGGGGGTTTAGTTTCTCAGGGACTCTCGTTGAAAAGGAATGTTGAACTCTCATTTTAACTTATATGAGGGAGGTAAGAGAAACGGATTTACATGGCTATGCAATCATCAGCCTCGCGATATTCTCTCTCTGGTCTTGGGCATTGGTACGCATCCTCGCATATAATTTATTTGTCAAAAGAGAGACAGTATGAGTCTTAGAGCTCCATGTGAAATCTGTCTGGGCTTTCCAAAAGTAATCAATTGATAACTGCACTCCATCTAGTTACTTGGACTTGGCTCCTTGCCAAGCCTAAGTGTTCGGTCCAACTTGGCCACATAAAATAATTAAACTACATTGTAAAAATATGTAAAAGAACGGAGTTGATGCATAACTGTGACTTTTTCTTATCATATGCCCTATTTTATATGGGTGCAGTTTTCATACGGATGCCTCCATAGGTGTAGAGGTACGATGCCTTTCAAATTTTATCATGGTATATAATTTAGATGTAAAATGTTATTAGAATCATCTCAAAA